AAAAAAAAGAAAGACTTTTTCCTTTTCATGAAATTCAGATAACCAAAGTGCAATAAAAATTAGTTGAAGAGACAATTCTTAAAAATGTTTCGAAAAAAATTATCTCAAGAAAAAAAGCTTACAAAGTAAAGAATGTAGGAAGATTTTCAGTTAACATCAGCTGCTTGAATGATGTGTTAAGCTTCTTTTTAGAGCTTAAAGATGCAGACATTTTGACTCAGAATTCTGTTGCAAAAAAAAACTTTTCTAAACCCGACATCTGATTTCTCCGTCAGACGAGCACCATAAAACTGTTGACTTAGAATATCTATTCTCAAAATGATTCCGGAAACAAAAAAAATCCTACAGATTCCAGTCAAGTTCCTAAAAATGCCTTAGTTTAAAATAAATCTAAAACTGTTCAGCTAGTCGTTCTCAATAATTTGGTATGACAACCCTTAACCTTTCCTGGTATTTTTTCTCCAATTATTCCTTCTGCTATCTTGTTCCTAAAAAATGTTCTGCTGTCACAAACCCTTTAAAATGACATTTAAAAATCAAAATTCAAAAATATTTTACCCCGTTACTTTTTCTTATGACAAATCCCAGACTATTGGAAAAGCACATCGATTATTCTTCATAACAGTAGTATTAAAAAAAAAAGTATGTTGTGGATGGTGTTTGCGATTGAGTTTGTTCTGTCTCTAAACATCTTCTAAATGCTGATAGCAGCGATAAAAATTTTGAAGAGCAGAAAGGAAGATGACGGTCAAAAAATGAGATAGAAGAAATGATGAGAAAGGGTTTGCTGAGAACCGCTAAGGATTTCCATAACCAATTTTTTCTTGATTAATCGAAAGCAGAGTATAAAATCTTTGTAAAAAATGAAGATGATTAAGTTTATTGAAAATGCCAGCTTAATAAGGTATGGATAATCCAGGCTTTGCAAAAAACATTCAAACCTAATACATAAGGGCTATACAGAATTAAGATCTATAGTTTTTTTTTTTTTTGGCTAGTAATTAATTTTAGTAATGCAGCAAAAAAGAAAAAAAAAAACAACATATTAAAATGTGAAAAAATTATTTCTTTTGTTATCGCTGTTGTTTTTGTTGCTACACCATCATGTCAAAACGATGCATTAATGATAGCAAACAAACTGCCGTTTCAGTACCTTCAGTTCCTTCAAGTGCAGTTTTGCAGATGAATTATTTTGCTGCAGTTTATAATATCAGAGGTTTTCAGAGGCCAATCTAAAAACTGTAACGGCTCAGAAGAGCCTTGATTCTTTTCTTTGCCTTTGTTCAGTAAACTAATCCATTAATATTGGCGTATCTTCCAACTTTTTTATTTGTCACTGACAAATTGATGTAAATTTTAAAAAGAAAAAACAATTAATTTAGCTTAGATAATAAAGTTGACTGAAAAAAGGCGTGCACAATTTTGTCCAGTGTGCAACAGCAAATGTACCAGAGTTAGCTTGTTGATTATCTTCCTGTTAATCGATCAGTTGGCAAGAGCTGTACTCATTAAACTAACCAAAAGATTAACAATTATTCAGCATTTTTGCCTCCTTCGTCATTCAAGTAAAAACTATCTTTTTGTCTATCATTAGAGAGTACGAAAGTTATCTCAATTAAATTTGTCATCATCCTACAACTGAGCGATAAAAAAGACTTTAAGTATAGAGTGAAGTGAAAGAATAGAAGAATCAAAAGAGATGAAAGAAGAAGAAAGAAACGAGAAAATCAACTTGTTTTAACTTCTCCAGTAAAAATGAATAAGTAAAAAAGACGAATAGTAATTAAGAAGACAGAAATAATAATGGCAACAGCAATAATTTATAGTATCAAAAGTGGACCCAACTAGAAATATAACCTATGCCGTAGTTCCTGGTATGTTACATCCCAAATAATACATATACTTCAATTCAAAATTTCCTATCCATTTTCCTTTTCTCCCTCTTCCTCAAAAAAAAAGTAAATAGAAAAGCAGTTTTGACTGCAATAAAAGCAACTGACAATTTTATTAGTACAAAAACTTCGTTTTTTTTTCAAAAAAAATTCCTTCTCCAATTCAAAATATTAAAAACCACCAAGTGCTTAGCTCAGTTTTTATCGTTGTTCGCAGCCAATGCTGCCAAAACCAGTTAATATGCGTTTTCAACTTTTATTTCCTCCTTAATGCTTATTCGACTTATACGAAAAATTCTTACGCAGACAAAGGATTAAACCAATAAAAATGAAAATTAAATAAGTCTTGAGTAATATCATAAAATAATTTCTGTAGTATACTAAATGCTCTTCATCTTTCATTTCCTTCCAATTTGTTCATCAATTCACCTAAATTTATTCCATTGATAACGTCGATTAAAATACACTTTCTCCCACAGCAGCTCCATAACTATCTTTGTCAAAACTGCCACAATTCCACACAGCAAAGT